ACAGTGGCTGTTTTGGAGCATCAAACCAACACCCAAAAGTTCTTCATCCTCAAACTTCCACTCTACAAGAAATCACATAAGGTGAGTTCATACCCCTACCTTTTCATGTTTTCTTCAAGTTTTAAAGGGGAAATACAAGTTAGAACACTAAACATAACTTAAATTTAAAAGACAGCTTTCTACAGAAAAGTTGAGTCCTGTTCACGGACTTTTTGACCATTTTAAAATTAATATATTTCAAAACTTTACAATATTAAAATAGTTCAGTTTTATACCTTTCTAAGGACTACTCACACGCGTTCATACGATTTTTATACAATTTATGACGATTTTTATAGTACTGTCTATCATTTCAGAAGTGATTTCGGACCGGTCTGTGAAGATGACCATTTTCACACTAGTTTGAGACCACTAAAAATCATAATAAAAATTAGGAACAAAGTAGACTCATTTTCTAAACTCTCAGAGGTTACGAATTCAGTTTTCGACTATGATGATTTTTCTATAAGTTTTCTAAAAACAAAGACAGTAACGGGTAAAACTGTCAAAAGTGGTTTATAGATTTGTTAACACCTTGTAACATTTTTGAGCAAGGTTTATACATTAAGGAAGTTAAAACATAATCATTTGAATACGTTTAACTACTATTTTAACAAAAAGTGATAAGTACAAAAAGGTCTTTACTGTCAAACTTAAGGATTATTTCATGCAAAGTTTCTAATAAAAAACGTAAGAATATGAACAACAATTACGAAACATACCAAATCATCTTTATATATATATATATATATATATATATATATATATATATATATATATATATATATATATATATATATATATATATGTTTTGTTTAAAAACTTGTCTTCTGCATCAAAAGTATACAAATATAGTTTACGAAATTTTACCACATTTGTATCCCGTTGAGCAAAGGGTAAAATGTTATCAAATGCATATCTAAAGATTTCACGTCATTCTTCATAGCTATCTCAGTCTTAGGGGATGATCATTTATACAAACATTTTTAGCACAAAAACACGTAAACTCATTGATCAAATTTAGTGATTTTTGTCTTCACGGTACCTTATAAAGTACACGCGAAAGCCCTGTTAAATATAACCATAGTCTCTTGTAGGGAGAGCATGATAGTTGTGTATATACAGGGACTGACAATCCTGCACCTTAGTTGCTTGCAACAGCTAGACCGGCAGGTCTAGGGGTGACAAATGTCATAACGAAATCGACACTTGAAGAACGTTGCGAACAAGGCAGTCTGGGTCAATCAAGCATGGTTATAAGATAAAAATGAAAACTCACATAAAACAACGACACTTTTAGTTTACGCAAAGACAGTCTTCATACAGTTTTATATACAAACAAAACTGCATAACATCATTTTAAGTAGGATAATTACTTATACACTTCGGTCGTGGTTCATTTAAGGCCGCATCTCATTTTAGGGAAAATATAGGATTTTCCAGAAAACAAACATTACTACATTCCATAGAAAAGGTTTACAAATATACATACAAATTCTTATGAACTAACCAACTTAAATGTTGATACTCTCTTTTCAAATAACTTGTATTCTCAAGAAATCAGTAAATCAAGTAACAACTGGCTTTGAGGATCGGATGCTTAGGCGGCTAAACAAATCTTTTGACAACATATTGTAATTTATATTTTGAAATATGTAATACGTACAAATGATATAACTTTTTCAATTAGATTACTCACACCCAAATGGGTCTAGATCTCACCTTTTCAAAGGCCATAAGCCTTATGATAACCGATTTTCGGGATATAGCCTCGAATTATGAATCGATTCAAAACGGGGCGTTACATGGCTAGATAAAACTATGGATTTGTTCAATAATAAAACTCCCACACTTGAAGATATCAAAGAATCTTATGAAAAGTTCTTATCTAAATCAACTCACCGTAGTTTATTGTTTAAAAAGTCATATATTGTAATGCAAAATGGGTTTGTAAGTACTTGAGATGCCATCTTTTGATATTTCACATTCTTTGAAACAAAAATCAAATATTCATCATTCTAGTCTGAAAATTATTCCAAAATGGATACCCGAAGTCTGAAGTCTCATCACTTTCAAAGCCAATAACTATTTTGAAACAAATGCTTATTTCTTTTCAAAGAATGAGTTATATTGCAAAATGGATTCAAAAATCTTCAATTAAAGCCAGTAACTATTTTGAAACACTCGAGGACCCAACCAAATTTGGGTACCTAAACTCTCTCCTAGATATCATGTGATGTATGAGGAGCAATATGATAAGGAATGATATATTGACATCGGTTGCTCTTGTCACATGGAAAGGAAGAGGGAATACTTGAGACATTTTAGGAAGTTGCATAACAAGGCGATATCAAAGTTGGAAACAATGAATGTACCTCGATCAAAGGATAAGGAAAAATAACTAATGAAAACTTCACAATCAAAAGAGTTGCATATATTGAAGGACTTAAACACAATTTGATTAGTGTCTCATATATAGTTGTTGGAACAACTAGTCAAATCACCTTTGATGAAGATGGAAGTGTGATTACCAACAAAATAACTAAAGAAGTGTTGTTGAATTCAAAACTTACATAATTAAATATGTAGTTTAATTCAACAATTCATAAAGTCTTCAAATCATCATTATAGGTAGGAAAACAGAATATTAGTAATCAAATTTGGATTGCTCAATGATTGTGTGACATCATTTTTCCACTACGATGCTAATCTGTAAGGATAATCTGTAAGGATCACTCTAAGTTTTAGGCAAAAAAAACAAAGAATTCACTTATGGAAAAAACATATGTAATGTTGATATTTTTAAAAGTTCCAAATAGGCGAAAAATGTGTGTGTATCTGTGTGTCTATATATATATACACACACACACACACACACACACATTACCTCAAAAATGGGATAACGACAATGAAATCCGCGGAATATACAAATTAAAATAGTTTTCAAAGAAAAAAATTGTAAAGATAGGGTCGTCTTCCATAAACAGCTTGGGTTAGAGTTGTTGCAGACAATTTGAACTATCAAGCAACTTGGTTATCATGCAGTTTGGGTTGCCTTCAAGTAGACCCAAAATCAACATGTTTCGTCAACTTGCCTTCAATCCAAAAGGTTTTCCCACAACTTTCAAAATCAAAAATATTATAGAGGTCTTAGGATGTTGCCCAAACCTTGCCATGAGATCTCCCCCTTGACTTTCTTGCCTTTCTTCGTATTCGGGGTTTAATTCGTCTTATATATAAGTATGAACTCCGCACCTTGTTACTTGTATTATATCATAATTTAAACCCCATTTTGGCACTCGTATTAATTTATGTTACATAAAATGTTCGGCTCACCTAAAATTGCCAACAATAACCACTAGTGTATCTTACGAAAATCCTATTTTTCGGTCATGAAGGGTCTGATAAATGGTTAGGGCTAGGCTTTCTATGTGATTTGTTTGGTTATGAGTCTGTAATAGTACTTTTGAGTTATTTAGAGTCGTTTACTATTTTGTCATGTTCACGACCGTAAACGTGTTTACGGCCGCAAACTCGGTTTGCTGTCTAGACGAGTATATAAGGGCTAGGAGTTGGTCATTTGTATGATTGGATGGCAGTCAGTTTACGGCTAGTGTTTGAGTTGTACCAGACGGTTATTTGATATAAACATGTGCAAGCTCAATTCTTATTCATCTTATTGTTATTCTCGATTTGTGATTGTTTGAATACTAGTAAAAGATCCAGATCCGGACCTAACAGGTCATGAACATAGTTAGACTTCTCCAACAACATTGTGATTTCTTGAATTAATTGAAGCCCAAAATATGTTGTAAAAAAGAATATCACTCCATCATCGTATCGTTATATATTTTTAACATAAACATGTAAAAAATACTAAAACTTATAGATAAGAATCAACACCTTAAAAAATAGTACTTTTCGTATAACTTTTTGTTAGTTTAGTCAAATCACATCAATATCATGACATGTAGATAAACCATATTATATTTCAGGGATAATGATTTAAAAGGGTAATATATTTTCGATTTATACACATTTGGTCACTGGGTTTTTTTCGTCCATATTACCCCTTCAACTTGATAAATTGTACATATTCTATCCTTATGACCGGCTACTCCAGGTTAGCCGGTAAAAATAACTTAATAGGGTGATATATTTCTCACTTTGTACACATTTAGTCCTTGATATTTTTATACACATTTAGTCATTAATATTTTTTTTTTGCAAAATAAGTCATTTGTGTCATTATCCCACGTAAGATGTAAGATGTCGTGAGAAAAACTTAAAGAAATCATTCATAATAAATACTGAATGAGTACAAAAACAAAAATGATTTATTTTGAAACAAAAAAATATTAATGATTAAATGTGCACAAAAATATTAAGGACTAAATAATATATATTACCATATTAAGTCATTTTTTTCCGGCTAATCTAGAGTAACCGGTCATAATGACTGAATGTGTGCAGTTTAACAACTTGAAAAGAAAAAACTCGGTGACTAAATGTGTATAAATAAAAAAATATATTACCATTTTAAATCGTTATCCGTATATTTCATCTATTTAGTACCAAGCCTGATTGTTGCAATAAATTACACTTAGATAAGTATTCAAAAATGGTGTTTGATTCTTATTTAAATATCTACTATTTTAACAGTAAACAATTTTTGTAAAGACTAATATCACCATTAAATAGAAACTGTCTTTCATAATATTCCACTTCGGTGACTGGAAATTTCAATGTTTCACTAAGTAGATCTTTAAAACTTGATGACTAACTAAAAGAAATTAAAAGATCAAAAACATTTGTAAGAACTAAAATAGTTCGTCTTTTATCTATTCCAATATAATTTGGAATGAATCACGAACCCAAAAAATTTACGCTACAATTGCAATGAGAAGTTACTCTAAAAAAACCCTAATGTGGAACAAATGCATTTAATCTTCCCAATTTGATCAACAAATTAAACTTCTCATTGCTTGCTTCTTCATGACCTTCCCATAAACACCCCTTCCTAACTTCATTGCCTTTTCCATCTCCACCACACCACCACTACCACCATTCCTCTTCATCCCTTCAACAACCACCCTTAATACCCTCTCATCACCGCCAACCGCCTCAACGACACTCTCCACCACCACCTCCATCGCCGGAACTCTCCTCCCCCACTTCACCATCAACTTTTCCGATACAAAAAGTTCATAATAAACCTTCCAAAATGAAGCTCTTAAATACCCTTTCATCCTACCTCTTACCATCCACCTCCTCATACTCTCCTCTAACTTATACACCATGTTACCAACATCAACCCCTCTTTCATACCCCATTTCAATCTCTCCCATTTCTTGTTTTTCAGAAACACCATTCTCAAATTTGCACCTTTTGCAATGACAATCAAACCCCCAATTCTTTGTCATTTCTTTTCGGGTTTTCAAAGGTGAAAAAACATCAAAATAGCCTAATGTGATCTCTTCACCTTCTTTTATATCCCTCGAAGCATGAACAATCACATGGTCACCAATGTGAAATCTTTTCGCATTAGGGTTACACGAATGATTGATAAAAGAAGCCAAAACCCATATCCCAACACCATGATAATCGCCATTTTTACCCGAAAATTTGCTCGAAAATGTTTCTTCAACAAGTGAATTCACATCCAATATGCTTAACATGACTCCCATATCAATCTTTTCATCCAAAAAGCCACACTCTTGCTCATATTCGGGCCTAAAACTACTTATATCAGGAACCTCAAGATCTTCCTCATTCTCACCAGCAGACAACTTTGAAATCAAGTATTGTGTTCTTTTACAATTTGAAGTTGATGCAACAACTTTGTCTATGAAATTCTTCCACATTACCATTTGAGCATTTTCACCCAAATCTTGAGTTTTGGATTCTGGCAATATCCCTCTTTCGGTTGCTATAGCTTTATTGACCAACAACAAAGAACCAACATCAATGTTCTTCGTTGCAAACAATCCTCTACCACTAATCTCAGATTTCTTGATCTCTAAAGCGCCAATATACTCTGCTAACTCAGGAAAATTACCCTTAAACCCATTTAAAACCCAATTACTAAAATCAAATGCTCCAGATCTTGATAAAAATTCAAGCTTTTTCGTTTTTTCCAAATACCCATTTAAGGTTTCAGAATCTTGATTACTGGGATAATCAAGATTTGCAACTTTGAAGCAGTTTAAAGCCATACTGTATCTATCAAGATTAAGCAAGATCTTACCTTTACACATGAGCGTTTTGAAATGGGGGTTTTCAATTTGCAATGCCTCATCACAATCTTTGAGAGCTTGATCAAAATCACGGGTTTTGTATCTTGCTTCGGCTCTGTTGGAGAAGGCTAAACAGAGGGATTTTTGGAGTTTCGGGTCGGGTCGGGTTTGGGGATTAGAGATATGGGTTTGGCAGAGAGAGATGAATTGGGAATATGTTTGAATTGATTGTTCCCATTCGTCTCTATGGAGAAGCCCGTTGGCTTTGAATCTGAGATCTTGCATTTTCTCTTCTTCTGTGGTTTGTTGTTGCTCCGGTTCTTTCATCTTCAATGGCAGTTCAAACTGTGTGTTAGTGTGTGTGTTCTTTTGCAGGGGTGAGTGTAAATTTGAAATCAAATAGGAAAGTAACGGTCATATAAGTTAACTGCAAGTAGTCAAGTCAAGATTCCTGTGATTGTTATAAATATTCATTTAAAAGAATGCCTTTATAAGTCTAACGGTCGAGTAATGAGTTTGGGTGAAAATATGCATAAAACTATAAGATTTTCTATATTAAATATACAACATTTTATTGTTGGGCAAAAAGACATAATATCCATAACATGTTATAATTTGTGTCGGTTGCCTTAATTGATAAAATAGTACAATATAATTTTATAAATATGTAAAATTGACATTATTGTATAATTAAGTAAGTAAAATCATATAAATAAGCATTTTAATTGCGCCAAGTCATCAATAACCCAATTAGAAGAAATGTGATTACATAATTCTTTTGGCAAACCATGTTCTTGTAAAATCAAGAAAAAATAGATGCTAAAGATGGATGGAGTTGTGGTAAAAAAATAGGATGGGTATCGATAGATCCGGCTGGTAGATTTTAAGGGTTCTGTGCTAAGAAAAAAAATAGGGACTTAAATATAATTTTTTAATATATAAAGAAAACAAACTTAAAACGGTGAACTGTAACTTAAAAGTAAATAAATTAATTAAAAAAGAAAATATATAATTTTATAAAAAAAAATTAAGGGTTAATTATGTAACTTCTGAAATCTGATTTGAACAAGATTTGAACCCACGTTTTTAACATAGAAACACGTCTTTGCCAATTGGGCTACACAAATTTTATACAATATTTTGAATAAATTCATATATATTTAGTTATTAAATATATAATTTAATTAAAACTCAGACCTTAATTTATTCAGGGCCCTGTGCAGCTGTCCCTGTTTTCCCCCTTAAACCGGGCCTGGGTATCAAGGTACATCGGTACCTCCAAGCTCATGACTCTCCATTTACATGAGTTCAAAATAATGGGTTCAAAATTATGGTGAGTAACTTCATTGTGTAATCTAATTCGTTCAACTCTATCTCTTCAGTTTATACAATACGTTATAATATTTGTACAATAATTATTTTTATATACTTTATAATTAATTTTATATGTATTTTAAAATTGAAAATTGTGTAGGTTTGAATGTTGGGATGGATGAAATAGATTCATTTCAATATGAATGGAATGTTTATAAGGTTGGAAGGAAAGATATCACTCCTAATATATTGCTATATAAGTTTTTTTTATCGGCGATAGGTTTTTTATCGTCACCCAAGCTTAGCATTTTATATAAAAAATGTAGGAAGTCATAGTGTGTGATTTTAAATAGGTTTTATTTTGGAAAAAAAAATAGCAACAACCAATAGATTTTGTGGTCAATAGGTGCACAAACAATCAAATCAAAGTCTCTCTCTCTCTCTCTCTCTCTCTCTCTCTCTCTCTCTCTCTCTCTCTCTCTCTCTCTCTCTCTCTCGTTAAGGGATTAACGAGGTCCCTAACGAGAGCTAGGAGCAGTGTCCCTTCTCCTAGCGAGCGCCATAGTGACTCCACTCTCGTTAGAGCATTCATAATGCAATGCAAGTAGTATAAGAGTTGAATGGTGTGATGACTGGGATTGAATAAGAGTTGAATTGAATGTTGGTGATAACATGGAATAGAGATGAATGGAGGAATTGTATGATTATTGAATGGTTCAATAGAAAGGATAAAATAGTAATTAGGATTGAATAAGTGTTTAATTGTTCTGGATGGTGTTGTATAGATGTTTAATAAATGAAGTGACAATTTATTAAACTCTATACAGTTCAATGGATTATATTATAAATACCCTTAACCTAAGTAAAACTATAAAGAAAAGTTGATGTAACAATGAACTAGAATAGCAGAAAACATATGATTTGCATATTTTTTGTTGAACCAACCAAATAAATGATTATAAAATACAAGAATAACATGACTCACAAAAAAATTCCTGAAAAAACGTCTCTATAACTCATTTTTTTTTACCGAAACAAATTTTGTTTTACTTTTCAGACGATATTCTTGAATCGTCGCAAAAATGAATCTTCGCTTTTTTTTCTCTTCACGAAACATATTATTTTTACATCATCTAATGATTTATTTTGTTATTTCACAAAAAAAAAATAATAAACAAATAAAAAATACTATTGATATCTAAGAAATTACCCCCAAAAAACATATAAGAAATGATCCTCCAAGATGTGATCACGTTGTATAAACGACTATAATGTTTTTATCATGTAACTCGGTTTCTATATATGTGTACTGATATTTGTGTATTCATATTAAAAAAATCTAACCAACTTTATTTTATGTTTATTCTAGATCACTATTTTTTCATCTTTTTATGGTCTTAAATTAAATGTTTTGTTTGAAATTTAACGGTTTTACATATTATTGGCCACATATCACTAATATGGCGTCTACGTGTGGCTTATGTAACATCTATATCAAGATTTTATCAACTAATATTATTTTGTGTTTAAATATAGTTTAATTAAACTTATTACATCATGTCACTGGCAACTGTCATTTTCATCTTCCACATTCATTCTCATCCTCATCTTCTAGATTCGTCGATATTGTAAACGTATGCCAACTGAACATAATAAATAAAGCAATAGCTGATAATGTTTATAGTTTTAAACCCCCAAAAAAAAATTCAAGACATGTAACTGAAATAAAATATATTAACCCGTTATTTATATCAGGGTCAGACAAAATTTCCAAACTTTGGGCCCAAATATGTAACTTTTCAAGCCGGTACATCATATGTAACACCAAAAAAAAAATGTTCTCCCTTTTTTTTTAACATATATAGTTGAATATTTTCAAGAATAACTCTTATAAATATTCACTTTGTCATTTATGAGTTTGTTTATTATTCCGTTGTGGAATAAATGACCTGATTTAGAGCGAAAATGATTAACCAAATCATATTATAATTTTTTTCCGCATATAGTACAAAGATGCAAAATAAATATCTTTTGTAATATAGAGATTTTATTTCATGAAGATTGTCATATTTTCACTTTTTCCTCTTTAGAAGTTTTGATATAATAATTTTCATAAATTTTAATGTTAAATTATTGATATTTTATAAGTTGTGATTCGGTTCTTTTATTATATTCTAAAATTATATTTTTCGTCTTTTACATAATTTTCTTTTTAGTTTTCGGTTTTATTAATTTCCTCAATATATACTTTCAAATCTTATTTTCATCTGTCTCCAGAATACATAATTTTTTGGATCGAAATTATATTTTAATACTTTTATGGTCCACCTAATATGATATAATTGAAACGGTGCTATAAATGGACTGTTGATTTTGTAAACCACATTTTATCTACGAATTGTAAATGAGTCACCCTGCACATTAAAGTTATGTTTTCGTGCCTTACATAATTTTGTTTTTATTAATTTCCTTAAGATATACTTTCAAACGTTATTTTCATGATTTCGTCCGCCTCCTCCATACATAATTGTTTTAATCGAAACTTTATTTTGATACTTTTGTGGTCCACCTGAGATGGTATAATTGTCATCGTCCTATATATAAACTCATATCATTTGTAATATATGAATTGCAAAAGAGTTACACTGCACATTAAAGTTATGTTTTGGTCCCTTCATGATTTTTATTTTTATATTTTTTGTTTTTATTAGTTAATTGCAAACGAGTTCTTTGTCACAATGCGCGAGGTTACTTAAATACTATTGATATTTTAAATTGTTAGAAACTACTAAACTTTTAAATAAATTCAAAACGTTAAACTTAATTTAATATACACGATAAAGTTAAATGGATTTAGCTTATAATATAGGGATATTAATTAAACTAATGGTATCCTAAGTTAATGTTAAAAAAACAACTAACAAAATAAGTTTTTTATTTTTTGAAAAATTACAAACATTTTCGGAATGTGTTGTTTTGTTGTTTCAGACAACTTTATTTTATCATCAAACATATTTTTTTGACAAAAAAATAAATTTAAAACTGACAGTTCAGGTCCATACTGATAATCCTGATTTCGAAAAAAAAAAACTATTATGGAATATTAAGAAAAATCTAAAATCCAATGTATTCCGGAATTCCCATAAAATATTTTGATTTTACTAAAATAAAATATAGTTAAATAAACATAGAAAATGACAAATATATATGATACAAGTAATTAAAATGATATATTTGATTGAAAAATAATGATATTAAAAACTTGAAATTGTCACATGAGTAAAAATAGTATTTTGAAAAGCTTTTATATAAAAGGAAAAAAAAAAACATATGCGTTAGATATTCCATGATGGACTCCCCTGAAAAACATCTGCGCGCGTGTAAACGAGGTGCTCTACCAACTGAGCTATAGCCCTTAGTGCTTGTAATATATATTTTATTATGTCGATAATTTTTATTCTTGATCATTCTTAATAACTCATTCCTAAAAAATAGTTTCTTTTTCCAAAAAAAAAAACTATATAATGATACTTTTAATCCATATCTAACATCATATATAACAAATATTAAAACAGTATATTCTTTTATAAAAGTTAAATTGCATATTTTGTCTGTCTAGTACTTCGTACTTTCTTTTTCAAATGTAATAGTTATCACATTTGTGGTTTGATTCCATTTCAGTTTTTGTCCTTAGACGAGAGGGTATACTAGTTACAAGAGATAGTTGCACCTCACAACCATCTTCTTCGACACCAAGCTCTAGTGAACCTGCAACGCAACATGAGGCCGCAGTCAGGAAAGAAAGAAAGAAAAGAGAGGCACGGAGTAGAGTATAAGAACAAAATGATTGTTTGTGATCTCCCATGGTATATACTACATGAGCCGACAATCGTGGCTCTAAATCTAAATCATCACAACGATATTTTTGGGGTGGTATGCATGGAAGTCTACTTGTCATATCACTATCATATCAATTTTTCTCTCTCCTCTCACTCCCACCCTATCTCACAACA